ATCGTCGCTCGCCCCCTGCCGACTGGGAGGAGCCGCGGCAGCTGACGGGACGCCCTGCGGAGGAAAAGGCCAAGGGTCGCTTCCACTGGGCAATGCAAAAAATTGTTGTAATTGCTGTCAGTGAGTGCTAGGTGGGGGCGGGGGCTGAGTGTACAGGGCAATGGCCAGCGTCCTGGGACAAACAGGGACAGAAACAAGGGGGGCCCAGGATTGTTTTAAATCCACTCCCCTCCTCCCACTTTATTATTAAACCTTTTTCTTGCCAGATGTTTTTGCAGGTGGGTGGGTCTAGACTGGCAAAAACTTGCCAGCTGTCTACACTGGCCGCTTGAATTTGCGCAAGAGCACTGACTTTGTAATGTACAAAATTAGTGCTTCTTGCGCAAATACTTTCCCGCTCCTGCTCGGGAAAAAGCCCTTTTGCGCAAGAATACTTGCGCAAGAGGGCCAGTGTAGACAGGAAAGAACTGTTTTGCGGAAAAAAGCCCCGATGGCGAAAATGGCGATTGGGGCTTTCTTGCGCAAAATAACATCTAGACTGACCACGGATGCTTTTGCGCAAAAGCACTTTCTGCACAAAAGCATCCGTGGCAATCTAGACGCGCTTTTGCAGAAATACTTTTAACGGAAAAACTTTTCCGTTAAAAGTATTTCCGCAAAATCATGCCAGTCTAGACGCAGCCAAGGAGTGTGACACAAGCAAGATTCTCAGGTCCTAAGCCTCTCAGTGACAAATGTAATGTTTTGTGATACACCATTTGGCCCACCCCGCTTAAGCAACAGCCCTGAGCTAGGATGGAAGCAGAATGACTATACTAGAATCTCAGCTCTTTTTTCTACTCTCCATACTTCCAGAAAAAAACTGAAAAACATGCCCATGGAATAAGTGAGTTGTGCCTGTGAGGGGAGAGGGTGCAGGGAAAGGCAGTCAGAGGAAGAAGAAGAGGGCATGAGGGAGCACTCCATTTAGCAATCACATTTTCACCTCATGGGTGCTACCACAAGTTGCCTGTGCCCATGTGGTACCCTAATTACTAAGAAAGCACAAGGCAAATAAAAAGCACTAATCATTCATTATTGTTAAAATAATCTCACAATTTTAAAGGCAATCTCTCAATTTTTTGCTGTTGGGATTGGCAAAGCTGCTTGAGTATGTTGTTGAAAGCATAGTTGTGCATGTAGGCATGGAATCTTAGAGCTAGTCAACACTAGAAAGTTAAGGTGGTTTATCCATATGGGTTAGGGTAGTGAAAAATCCACACCCTTGAGCAACATAATTAGGGCATTTAAAGTCCCTCTGTAGCCACAGCTAGGACTACCAAAGCATTTTTTCATCAAACTAGTACTGCTTGTTTGGAAGGTAGATTGCTTTTGTCCATAGGAGAATCCCCATTGGTGTGGGTAGTGTCTACAGTGACACAACTGTTGCATTTTAAGTCTACCCAAGCCCTTAAAAGTTGGGGATGGAAGAGACATATTAGGGCCCAAAAGATTGTCTCCTACTATATAATTACTTTTATATTTAGTTTCAGAGGTCTCATGTACTGTGGTTTCCACCTCTTTCCTTTGGAGATGATTCCACGGCCTATACATTTTACTAAATAAGAAACTGTTTCCAACACTGAGTTTACATTTTAGCTATCTTAATTTCTTCTCAGTACTCCCACTTTTACTCCCTGGCACTATTATAAACAATTCTTTACCAGCCTTGAATTTACAAATATTTGTAGACTGCTGTCACAAATCCTCTTTAATTCAAGCAATATTGCTTCAATATTTTTCTTCATAAATCAATCCTAACAGCTCTCCAATCATTTTCTTCTCTAAACTCCCTTCAAACTATCAATATCTTTCTAGTAATGTGATGCACAACTGCACAGAAAGATTCTAGAGTCACATCAGATCCTTAGAGAGTTTTGATGTACAGCCCAGAACTAGTGACCTTGTTTGTAGAGCCCTGAAAATCTGTAGATATTCACAGCTCATTTGTGTAGATATGGATGTGGATAAAAAAATTGTGTCTAGAACTCTGCAAATCTGTGGCTATCCACTTTTTAACTGTGAGTTTTCACATACACAGATGTCAATGCAGATATCTGCAACTTATTTTTGTGGATACAAGTGCAGATACAAATTTTGTATTCATGCAGGGCTCTCCTTGTTTGCTTCCATGTTACCTTGTCTAACTTGTTTAATTTACAGTCTGTCCTCACTGATGATTATATGCAAAAACATGTAGCAGAAAAAAGTGCTGTACCTTAAAAGCAAAGTTATCATTTCTAACCGAGACTAAGGAGAAATGTTATGTCTAAAAGTAATACTGAAGACCCTACATATATGTGTATTATTAAAATTCCAGGTATGTTACTTAACACTTTTTTTGCATGACTTAATTCTTTTGCAAGAGAAATGTCAAGTTAAAACTAAAACACAAGCCACACTGTTTATCAGTTGTGAGTAAAACGAGATTAAAATCAACTTCTGCAATTCTGAGAACAGATAAATATCAGAAATTTTGAACCAACCAGAAACATTAAGATCTTGCATGGTAAGTTTCAGCCCAGAGTATCCAAACTGCCATTCTGTTTATGGCATACATAGAAAGCATTTCTCAAGAATAGTGTACTGTCGGTAGACTTAATCCTGCCTCACTTAAGGGGACTGGACTATGATTCTATCAGTTCTGAGAAAAGATACTCTAGGAAAAGCAAGCCTATGCTGATGAGATTCTTATTTTACGTCAGTTAACATATAAAAGATGTTATGCAAATCTATAGAATAATCATATTGGATATGACCAAAAATTAATGTAGCACAGTATGCTGTCATCCAAGAATGGCCAATGTTAGATACGCTAGAGACAATAAACAGAACAGGCAATCAAGTAATCTATTCCCTGTCATCCATGCGCAGCTTCTGACAACAGAGGCTAGGGACACCTGGCTAATAGCCATAGATGGAGGTATCCTCCATGAATGTACTGTACCATAATTTCTCATTTAGCACTACAGATGTGTTTCTGAAAATGTTTGTGCTAAGCGAAAACATGCTATGCGGGGTCAATTTTCCCATTAAAAATGATGGAAAAGGTGGGGGTTGCATTTCAGGTGGTGGTGGCAAAGTCAATTTTTTGTTGGTGCTCAGTCATCAACGTCAACATTAGATATCTAGCAACACAAGTCACTGTGGTTTGTTAAAACATAAAGATAAACATGTGAGTGAGTGGAGGAGCACTGTGACCACGTGTATTCATCCGCTCGTGTATTATCACTGTTTTCACCAACTTATACCACCGCGCGAAGTAGTCCCCACTTGATTATTTTCGTGTTATTTCGGGGACGGTCATATTATTCAAAAAATGTTCCCTAAAAAAAATCGTGCTATTGCGAAAACGTGTTAAGCGGGCACGTGTTAAGCAAATAATTACTGTATCTAGTTCTTTTGTAACCCTTTCATAGTTATAGCCTTCACAACAATTCTGGTAAAGAATTCCACAAGCTGATTGTGTGTTGTGTGAAGAAATGCTCCCTTTTGTTTATTTTAAACCTACTGGCTATTAATTTCATTTAGTGACTCATCATTCTTGTGTTATGAGAAGGAGTAAATAACACTTCATTATATACTTTCTCCACACCATTCATGATAGTATAACCCTTTAGTGGTCTCTTTTCCCAGCTGAAAAGTTCCAGTCTTATTAATCTCTTCTCATACAGAAACTGTTCCATACCTCTAATAATTTTTGTTGCCTTTTTCTGAACATTTTCCAATTCTAATATATCTTTTCTGAGATGGGACAACCACATCTGCATGCAATATTCAATATGTATTTATATAGAGGCAATAAGAATTTTTGGCCGATTATCTATCCCTTTCTTAATGTTTCCCAATATTCTATTCATTTTTTTGACTGCTGCTGCACATTGAGTGGATGTTTTCAGAGAACCACTCACAATGACTCAAAATTTCACTCTTAAGTGGTAACAGCTAATTTAGACCCTGTCATTTTATATGTATAATTGGGATTATGATTTCCAGTGTGAATTACTTTGCATTAATCAGTATCGAATTTGATTTATCATTTTGTTGCCCTAGCACGTAGAATTTGGCTAACAATCTCATGAGCAGAGACAAATCACAATAAACCGCCATCCCTCCTGACAAAGATTTCAATCTCCCAAACACTTATGTAGGACCTGTCTGTACAAGAAAGTTGCATGCCTAAGGTGTGAATTTAAACTGTTACAGTGCAAACCTCTGTGTGATTTCAGTTTGAGTGGTTTTTTGGTTTCGGTTAGCTTGGGTTGATTGGGAACCAGTTTACATTAAGCCAAAGCAAGACACTCTTAAGCTAAAACAAAACTATCTCCCCAGGTATTTGTACTGGTTTTGTTATAATAGTACACCCACTCAGAGGTGCTGGAACTAGGAGTTCTGCTGCACTCCCTGGCTTGAAGAAGTTACCATTATACAGTTTACAGTTTGGTTCAATGGCTCTCAGCATCTCTGCTCCCAACCTCCAAACACTATGGATCAGGCCCACCAAAAATCATGAGCTTGGTTTAAAAATTACTAAAATGTAATAACAATACATGTGGTGATCTTTTAATTGCTCGTCCGTTTCCTGAGCTTTTAGCGTGTACCTGAGCCACGTTTTTGGACTTTTCTCCACAACCAAGAGGGCTAGAAACATTTATTTTGAGATGACGTCTGAAAGTCTCACACCACAACCCGCCTCTAGGATCTGGTGCTTCAAGAAAAACAGTCATTTCAAAACCCAATCATTTAATAACTGGTGCAACTTTCTTAAGCGGGGAAAGGGTTAGATGAGAACCTTGGCAAAGCGGCTGCTAAGACGCGTGTCCAGAGCCTAGCAGCCTGATCTCAACTGGCCTCCAGGACTCCTGCAAGGCCGATCAATAATATTTACAACAGCCAGGCATTTCCGAGTCAATAACAGACGTCCGAGCTGAGGGATATAAACATCTGCTAGTGCCAACATTTCCCTCCAGGCAAACCCTAGGGAGGCTCGCTAATCACTGACAAGCAGCTGCACACGCACACAAGACGGGGGCTCGTCCCACTAGTTCTGGCTGATTCGTGTTTGTTCCTTGCACAAGGCCTGGCGGCGCGCGCACACTAGGGGCCCTTCAGGTGCACTGCCAAGCAGGCCTGGCTCCTGCAGCGCTCCCTGCCACCCCCCCCCGGCCTCGCCCCTCTCCCGCCCCGCGCTCCTCGTGCACGCAAGCTAGCAGCGCGGCGCAGCGGGCTCGCTGCCGGAAGTGGGGGCGCTCGCGGCCTCCCCGCGGGTTAGAAATGGAGGCGAGCGGAGGCGCGGCCGGCTCCGGCCGGCGTTAGGGCGCGCGGGGGCTGCGATGAGGGGCTCGCCCGGCTCAGAGCCGCCCGCGCCGCGCAGGGAGCGTCTCGCGAGCTTGTGCGGCTCCTTCCCCCGCCCCAGCCCGGGCGCGGCGGGGGGGGTTTTCCAGGCGCAATGTGGCTCCCGCGCTTCCTCCCCGGCACCTTGCTGATCTTGGGGCTCGTGGGCGGGCGGGGAGCCCTGGTCGCCTCCAGCACGGGTAAGCTAAAAAGGGGGGCGGGAAAGGAAATAAAGGCCCCTTCTGGCCTGGGATGGGGGGATAATCCCCCCCCGGACAGACCTCCCTAGTGCCCGGAGGTGGCAGGTGGGCCCCGCTTTCACAGCTGCGCGGTCGGAGGGAGCGCGACTGGCTTTACCAACAGATGGCTGGCAGCTGCTTCTTTGCGTTCTTGTTTTGCAAGTGCGTTTGCCAAGGGGATCTTCGTGAGCAAGTGGGGACCTCGGGATTGTCACCCCACGCATATAATAATAGCCGGGGGTCATCTCTCAGGCTGCAAAGATGATCCTGGATCACAGCTGCTAGCGGCTTCCTTCAGCATGAAAATAAGGGGTGGCCTGGAATAGTTTGTCAAGATTCCCAGTAATTTCTCTGCCTGGGGTAGCCATGTTCCCTTGTGGGATCTTTATTTATTTGCAAAGAACATTTGAATAGTTGTCAGTGAACCCTAGAATGCTTTCTACACCGTGGGGAATTGGCATGGGTTGTTGGGTTGGTCCCCAAAATCAGGTGACTTGCATAAGGAGTGAAATGATCGTGAACACTGTAGTTTTAAAGGAGCATGTCATGTGTTTCATGGATCAGGGCTCAGTCATATGTTTTGGCAACAGTGAGGCTTTTTTCCTGCTGTGAACAAGCATTTCATTATGATCCAGAGAATCTTAATAGAAAGCAGCGTGTGTTGCATGTAAGCAACAGAAATGTACTTAGAGGGTATAACTCCATTGAATGGTAGAACAAAAATGGTTAACAAAAATAAGCCAAACACTACTGGCATGCCCCTTCTTTGAAATATGTGCTGTTTCAAATTCAAACTGTTGGATTGTGCTGCTCAAGGAAGGTTGGATGAGGAAGATTGTGCTGCACAAGGAAGGTTGAATATCAACAGAGGTTGATATACAAGATATCTCTGAAATATTTTGAAGTTCTGGTTATAACAAAATACTTTGTGGCTGTATTAATTTTGCCATCATTATCCTTCTTTCCCCTAGCTTTTAAACTGAATGACAGTCTAGATACTCTGGACTGAAACTTCTCATGTGAGAGCGAGATCTTAATGCAGAAATGTTTTTTGTTTGATTCCTAATTTCTGATAATACATATCTATCTGTGTTAAGAAGTGCAGAAATTGATTTGATCTCATGTTGCTGACAACTAGTGAACAGTGTGGCTCATGTTTTAGTTTTAACTTGACATTTCTCTTTCAGAATAATTAAAGTGTTAAGGAACATACATGGAATTTTAGTACTACAAATACCATGGTTAATTCAATCACTCTTCTGCTCAGTGTGTCATGTTGAGTTAATAGGCAGTAGAGTCTCAGAGAAACTGATTAGTCTCGTAGATCTGTTTTTTAAGCTTGCAAAGTGTTGTCTCTTTAATGACCCAAGAAACAGACGTAACTACTAAGTAAATTGTTATAGAGCCTGGTTCTTGAATCTGATGATTCCAAAATAGTTCATCAGTGCAATGTAGTTATATGGACATAAATTAGTAGTGTTTTAGATCAAGCCTCAGTATTTCCATGCAGACATGGCCAACTTGATTGAATGTTGGCCTTGTCTCTGAATTTTTTCTTTAGCTTGTCTCTTACAGCAGCTAACACATGGGACTATGGTCCTGAAAGTGATGATTTCAAGCCTTGTTCCATTTTTGTACTGAAAGATCAACTCCAGTTCACCCAGATGCAAAATGGATATTTGTCTGTGGGATTAGGGATAGTCAAAGGCAGTCTGATGCGACATTGGCCACATCTCTCCCTTGTGTATTGTTGGTTGTGAAACTGACTTGTCTTCACCACATCAGTTCAGTAGCTTGGGGGAACTTGGATTCTTACAACTTTGCTTTAAATTTAATATCTTTTAGTAAAGCATAGAAAATATTTGGCCACAAGGTACTTCTAGCTCTTGTCATGTGTAATAGGATTTTTAGGCCAACATTTAAAAAATGTTACCAATTTGCTAATTTAGTACTCAGCTTGAGAGAGCATGGGTCTTTTTTTCTTTCCCTTGGAGACACTGAACTGAAGTCAATTGAGGGTGTGGGTGCTCAGTGCTTCTGAAAATCAAAGCATCTAAAATTAGTGAGCACTTATTAAGACCTGAGCTAAAATATATTGAATCCTCATGTTTGTACTGCAGAATGCTGGCAATGACTTCCCTTTTCATCTTAAAGAGTCCAGGGGAAGAAGTCAGTTTTCTTACTTTTTATGGTTGTGTGTTTTTGGTTTCCGCAGTACACTTAAGTGGGGAAACAGCCAAAGTGATACTGAACTAACCCACTTCCCCTTGGAGGATGCTAGGCTACTGTTGCAAGGCAGAGCTAAATTTTTCTAAAGCTGGTCAAAAAACCTCCTTGCAGGAGGAATAACAGATATTTCGAATTAAAGCCCTAAATCGAACTACTGGGTCCCTGCCGCGTGTAGACGTGGGCAGTTAGTCCGGACTTGTAAATTTCAAAAATGGCGACCGGACGGGAAGATGCAAAGCAAGCGCGGGATATTTAAATCCCAGGCTTGATTTGCAACTTCGAATGCCTACATTAGCCTCCCTAGTTCAAACTAGGGGGCTAGTGTAGACATACCCTAAAATATGTTTAATAACTATGACCAAACCCTTAAAGTATATCTGAAGTATGAATTAATTACCTTTAGAATATCCAGTGGTGGTCCATGTACTTTGTATTAACAATAGATTTTTTTTTTTTTGAGTTCGGACGAAGTGACTGGGTTTTCTTTGCTCTCTTTCTAACTATTCTTTTGAAAGGTAGACTGGTGTGTGAGAAGTGAGGTGGGTCTGATCTGTGTCCTTGCCAGTACCTTACAGAATGTGTGAGGCTATCTAATTTCTAATCCTATCTCTTGTAATTTCTGCTGTAGTTTTAATGCTGCACAGCAGTACTATTGAGTGAATAACACCAAGTACTCAGCTTGGTGACTCAGCTTGAATAGAGTGGTAAGAAAGTGCAAAGCAGTGACAAGGGATCATTGAGTTTTATTTTTTAATATAGAGTGTTTAGATTCAAAAGCCACCAGAAAAATACAACATTGTATGGACACTAAAACAAGGTATTGCTCAAAACTTGGTATAGGTGACTTGATACTATCCTATTTCACAGAGATTCTTTTTCTTCAAACGGAAGAACAAAGTTGTCTTTGCCTGGCATCTAATGGCACAGCACTACAACAGTCCTCTTTGTAGTGCAGAAAAGGTAACAATGCCTTTGTAACAAAGTGAAAGCCTTCTATTGTGTTGGTAGCACTTTATAGACTAACAAAACATATAGCTAGTATCATGAGCTTTCGTGGGCACAGCTCGCTTCTTCAGTCTATAAAGTGCTACCAGACCATTTGTTGTTGTTTTTCTGTAACAGGCTAACTCTGCTACCCCCTGAAGCTTCTATTGTGCTGTCATCTCATTTCAGGGACACAGTTAAGAGACCTAGCACAGGTGGGACGCGATTCCCTTTCCAGGGTCTGCTATAGCTGCAGTATATTTGGGGACTTGTCAGTGACCCTTCCCTATGCTGTTGTTCCTGTACACACAAAATGCCACCATGTAAAAGGGCCTGCTAGACAATCTTAAATGTCACAAGTGACTTCACAAGTAAGAGTAAAGGGAGGAACTACAGAGAAGTGTTTGGGTTTCCCCTACTCTTTTCTTAGCTGAGTTCATTTGATTCTGCTGTGAATTTGGTTCCTTGATTCTGAGAGAACTTGTTTGTCACAATAATTCTATATCATAGAAATAAATCAAGGTGATTATTGTCTGCTTGCAAAATTGGACAATAATGTGACGAAGAAAACTTGGTTCAGGGGAGTAGTCTGGTAGTCAAATGCAAGTTTGGGGCAATACCTTGTTTTAGTGTACAATTGGAATTCACGAATTGTGAGAATTTGAATGTAGCCCAGAGGGCTCTGTGGGCTACAATACCAAGGATAACAGACTGCCAAGAACAGAGCATGCCAAGGACAAAGGTTTATCCAACAAAGGTATGTGATGCTTGCCAATGAGCAAGTTCATGAGAGGTTGACATGAGCAGGACTGTTTTGTCATTTGAGTTGACCCTTGAGCCCGTGTCAATGTTCGCGACATGAGACTTAGCCTTGGTAAGCGTAAGCTAAAGAACCAGCTGCAGATAGAAGCGTCAACTAGACATACTTAACAAGACATCTCCTGTAAAGTCATTGATGGTTCCACTCTTTTCAGTGGCTCGCTGGCAGCAAGTGATATTCAAGGACTTGGTGTCCAATTTCTGAGTGCACTGAACACAAGCTAGCTGCAGGTGATGTACACCTTGTCTTAGAAAAGTGCAAAGACCTCCGCGCTAAGGGTGCGTCTAGACTACATTCCTCTTTTGAAAGAGGAATGTAAATGAAGGAAATCTAAAATGCAAATGAAGCGCAGATTTACAAATCTCATGCTTCATTTGCATAATCGTGTCTGCTTTTTCAAATTAAAAAAAAAATAGTCTAGACCCGGTTCTTTCGGGGAAAAAAACCCTTTTTCGAAAGAACTCTTATTCCTGAAAAAATGAGGTTTACAGGGTTCGTTCGAAAAAGGGTTTTTTCCCTAAAGAACTGCGTCTAGACACCTTTTTTTCAAAAAAAATCTTTTTTGAAAAAGCAATAGGACGCGATTATGCAAATGAAGCGTGAGATTTGAAAATCTGGGCTTCATTTGCATTTTCGATTTCCTTCATTTACATTCCTCTTTTGAAAGAGGAATGTAGTCTAGACTCATCCCCAGAGTATCACAAGACTTAACAGTGCTACAGAAGCAAGCAGGAAGCATCAGCTGAGTGTGAGTACATAGCTACTGCCACAGAAAGCTGGTTTTACCTTAGCTGGAAATAAACAGTTGATTGACATAATTTATACAGAATTCATTCAACACAAAAATATTGACTAAGAGCACCCATTAAAGCACAAACTAGGGGGCATTGCAGGTAGAGGCCACACATCCCCTGAAGTGAAGATGTGG